TAATAATAATAAATTAAATACTTTGTTTGGCGGGCGTGACATTTACTACTTATTTATATTATTTATAAAAAAATTTTAAATACAAATTTCATAAAATTCAATTATTTTTTAAATTTTTAAATAAAAAATTATTCCAAAATAATTAATAAAAAATAATTTTTTCTCGATAGTTTTTCAAAAATTAAATTATTTAAAAAAATCAATTTTAAATCTGTAAAGTCTAATTATTATTGTTAAAAACAGGAAGAGTTTGAAATATATAAAATCTTTTCAATGCTGAAGAATAACATTCAGAATTTTCTTATGAATTCTTGAAATTGAATATTATTCCAGCACTTTTGACAAAATTTTCTGACTTTTTCCTGATTTCCCTGAATAGTGATTTTGTGTAAAATTCTTCTGAATAATTGAATTTTTGAATGTTAATGACATGAAAATAATATTAATTAATTTTGACTAGAAAACTATTAGAAACAAAATAACAAATAAATAATTAATTGTAATTAAATGTAATTTATTTTTGATAATTAATAAGTCAAAAATAATGTAATGAACATATTTTTCATTATCGTCTCATTGGCATTCACGCTTTCATTAATTTTCATGTGACATGTAATGTAAAAATTACATTATTGGTATATATGTTAAAAGTGAAACAAGAAACTTCACGCGCTCTTTAGCGCGCATTATTTGTGCTAGTTTATCAATACAAGGCGAAGTCATACTATATTTATTTTCTTGCAACATAAATGCATCGGGTTAATTTACAAATTGAAATTTTGGTTTGTGGAAAAATTTGCCTTTTATCTTTGCTGTAATTACTTCAAGTATAAAAGCCATGATAGCCAGAGAGTATCCAATTGTTCCTACATAAAACAGAGCAATAAAAATTTGTTCCTTCGAAATCATTTGCAATTTCGACTTATTATTTGTTTGGCGTAAATTGACACTGGTTCTGTAAAACTCTCTGGATAATCCAAATTCTAAAACATTTAAGATTCTTTTAATAAAATTATCAAGATATGGTGTAAAAGACTCTGTGAGAAATGTTTCGAAACTATACATAATAGTTTCTTCCAATATTTTAACATCTGTTCTGCCGTTCTTAGCCATATAATTTTTAACATAATGCGGAGCGTTTTTTATAACACAAGAAAAATTCTTGTAATCAATATACTTTAGCAAACAATTTTCTTCTTCAGATATATAATTTTCTTCAGATATACTATCTTCTTCAGATATATAATCTTCTTCAGATATAATTTCTCTTTCAGATATACTCTCGATTAAAAGTCCTTTTTCTGCTAATTGTCTTCCCATACTTTGGATTTCTTCATAGTCATAGAGTATATGTTCTCTATACGTCAAGGTATGATGTACGTCAGCAGTCATAAGTGGTGTTAAATTCGAATTGAGAAGATCTGTGAGAGTTGAAATTTCAGGAGATGGTCGAAAACTGATGTCGAGGATTATCGAGTAAAAATAACCAGTAAAAACAATGCATGTAATAATCAATGATCCGAAAACTGTTCTTTCTGCTAAATTCCGAGGTTCGCGATTCGTAGGCATTCCCATTATAATTTGGCTAATGTTTAAAGTTTGCCATGTACAGTTGTTGAATTTTATCAAAAATGCTACTAATCGTATAGTTGAAATCGTACAAACTGTTACAATGATCATGTACCAAAATTCAGATGAAACAATAATTTCTTTTGAATCTTTTGACATTTGTGGAATAACAGCTTTAACAGTGTGCATTGTTGAACAAAGTATATTAATCAAACCTGCATTCATTGTCGAAAAATGTAATCCCATAGCTATATTCTCATTAGAATTGATATATTCTTTTTCATTGTTTTTGAATGGATGTAGTTCTATTAATTTGTGATCAACTACATAAAAAACCATATCAGAATTCAGTAGTACAAGAGGTAGTGATTCCGGTTCAATATGAATCTCTTGTGACAAAATTTGTAAAAAATTTATAGCCATAAAGCATTCGAACATATTTGAATTATTAGTAGATAAAATATGCTTCGAAAACCACTGAGTTTTTGGTGATAATTCTGCAGAATCAAACTCTGGGATATATAATTCTGAAATATCATTCCTATCTGCGAAACTCAAAGCCGTTTCAACAATAAGAATTAATTTGTTATGGTTTTGTTCAATTTTTAGAGTCCGTTCATTCATATTTATCAAAACACTAAAGTCCATGAAATTGTAATCTCTAACAAATGACAAGATTTCTCTGGTGCCTATATGAAATATAGGATAAGACGGCACTATTAAACATTTTGGTCGTGTTGGCCCCTTTAATAAATCATTTCGGTCAGTAAAAAATTCCTCAAATTTATCGAATGGTGTGTTCTTTGTCCACTGCAAAACGAACAGTCCAGTAATTTTAGGTCGCAATAGTGTCTGTAAACGTTGTTTAGTAAGAGTAGAATTTATATCACTGTACTTGACCGTAAACGATGGAAAATGCGAATTCACTGCTGACATGAGAGAATCCATCAATGGGTCCGAATGGACTAATTCATCGTCAAGAAGGTACACTATCTGACGCAATCTTGAATCACTTTTCAAATACTTTATCAATCCATCATAGTAATTACTTGCCGAAGACACTACCAGAATTTCTTTCCACAAAATTAAGCTGACAAAAAATAAGTCTTTAAATTTCATAGTTGCACAATGCACAACCACCACTTTTGGTCAATAGAAATCGAATGACAATTACGAGAAGTGAAACTGAAATTATTAATTCTTTTATTTATTTAAGAAAAGAGTTTGTCTTTGATCTACTACTGAAATGACGTTCTTGCTTTTGATGGATGTTTATAAAATACAAGGGTTCTTGAGAAGTACTCCAATAAACCATCTGAAGTGAAAAAGCTTAAAAAACTATTTACGATTGTCAATGTTTATGAAATTGTTGCTATGGTTATTAGAACTAATATTTATTAAAAACTACTCAAAAAAATCTATAAACGTTTTTATTTGGTGTGGCACTTATGAATACTTATAATAATTATAGGAGGAAATTGGAAATGTGAAAGTTTAATGTTTCACAGTAAACTGTAAGGTATTAAAAAGCGTTGCAGATTAAATTAACACCAAAGAGATTAAAATAATCCATTTTCATGTTATTTTTTACTATGAATGAAATTTGACTTCAAATCAAAACCAAGCCAACGATTTGTCAAAGAAAGTCAAAGCGAGTCTTAGTCTTAGTCTAAAGTGATAGTCATAGTCTTAGTCTAAGTAACGGTTCGAGTCGAGGTCTTAATCAAAGTCAGTCAAAATCTTAGTCAAAGTCATATCAAAAGTTAAAGTTATAGTTGAAGTCATAGTCTTATTCAATGTCTTAGTTACGGTCAAAGTCCAAATCTTAGTCAAGGTTTTGATTAAAGTCTTAGTCATGGTCAAAGTTGAAGTCTCAGTCATGGTTAAAGTCCAAGTCTTAGTTAAAGTCATAGTCTAACTTTTAGTCTAATCCAAGGCCAAGTCTTATCAAAAGTCAAAGTTATAGTTAAAGTCTTATTCTAAGCATTGATCACAGTCATAGTCTTAGTCTAAGTCAATGTATTAGTTGTGGTCAAAGGCCCAATGTTAGTCAAAGTCTTGATCAAAGTCTTAGCCATGGTCATAGTCCAAATCTTATTCTAGGTCTTGATCAAAGTCTTAATCATGGTCAAAGTCTCACTCCAAGTCTCAGTCAAAATCTTAGTCATAGTCAAAGTCTTAGTCATGATCACAGTCTTAGTCAGGGTCAAAGTCTTAGTCAGAGTCACAGTCCAAATATTGGTCATAGTCTTGATCAAAGTATTAGTCTTAGTCATGGTCAAATTCTAAAATTAGTCAAAGTCATGATAAAAGTCTTAGTCAAAGTTTTAGTCTAATACTTAGTCTTAGTCATAGTCTTAATCTCACTTTGACTATAGTTAGTCGTAAATTTAAATTCACTTTGATAAATTATTGAATTGATTTTGAGTTTAAGTAAAAGTTTACTCATAGTCAAAAATATATTATTTTAATCCTTTCTGGTGTTAATTTAATCCCAGAGGGTTTAAATTGTTGCAGATTATTTTAATCCATTCTGATGTTATTTTAACACCTCACGTTTTACTGTGATTTTTATAAAATGAAACTAAATGTTATTCACAATAGTGAAAAAAATTTAAAAAAAAGAAATATGCTTAGAAAAAAAAAATGTCAGACATGACCTGATTATTACTTCCAATTTTGAGGGAAAATGTACATATAATATTAAAGTATTGTTGTGTAGGAAAGTGTCTAAAGTCAATCTAAATTTGTCTCATTTCTCCTTGTCCAAGAAAGAAGTGCCTTAGTCTTGTGAGAAGCTTTTAAAATCCAAGACACCCTTTCGATCGGCACTTTTACGGCGCACCTAGTTCAACTAGAGATTGGAAAATTCTTGCGCGCGCAAGTGGAAATAGTAATAATTCCTTTTAATTTTTCCATTAGTTGATAATTAATAAATTAGTTAATAAAGATTATATCAATTATAAATACTATCAATAAGGTTTAAATATTTTTCTGAAAATAATTTACAATAATTGCAATTGTTAAATGAAACTAAGTGCCTGGAAAAAAATTCATTAATAAAGTAACGTTTTTTTTTGCGTACATTTAAAAAATACTATCAGTATATTAATCTCTTTGAAGAGTAAGTGATGAATGAATGAATGAAACAAAGCTTGCCATGTATTTGAATGGAAAATAATGAAATTTATAAACTCAAAGGACCTGAAAGTATATGATACTTTGTATTCTAAGATTAAAGTGTTCTCTGTTTGTTTCATAATTTTTTTCACCTTATTGTCCCTTGCTCCTTTGTTCCCATCAGTTGTTTTATCATCCACCCATTGGGGGTTGGGTTCTTCCCTTCTGGAGCGCGCAAGGTGGCGCCTCTAGGCGGAGAAAATCCTTCACCAGGGTAGCAAGTAACACCAGAGACCAGTCAGTTGTAGGTGCAGTGCGTGACAGTGCAGCGGATTCCAAAGCTGCTTCGAGAACGGTGAACGGACTGGAGTGCGCGCGGTTAGGTCAGTGTCTCCACTTCTCTTTGGAATAACATCTATTTTTTATATTTTAGGCAAATATGGCTTATTACCATCTCAATCCTTTGGACATTCAGTAATTTCCCATATCAATTCCTCTACTATGTCAATCGTTTAAAATCCACTCTTTTAAGATTGTCATTTTTTTTGTTAACATGATTTTCATTTGTTCTTCCTTTACAGAAATTTATCTATAATTTTTTTTTCTCTGCTATGTTTACTTTCACAGGAATTTCATGTCTATTTTCTCTGAAGAATTTTTAGTTTTTTAATTTAGTATCACAAGAATCATTAGCAATTATATCATGATTTGAAGGAAACGACGAAAATCAAGGTAAATTTTTTAAAACAAATATTTAATACAAGCTTTGGCAGCGAAAAGTGCTTAAATGGATAATTAAAGGTACAATTCAATCATCCGATTATAGTATTAACAGCAGCAGGCATTTCATTTTAGAAGGGTGAAATTAGTTTCTATATAAAATAATTATAAAATTTGTTTCTTAGACCTAACATTTTTTTGTTTTTTATCCATATTATTTATGTTTGATTTTTGTTGCAGGTGGTATGAAAATTAATTATTGTAATAATAAGAAACCGTATCAAAGCATTTCCTATTATAACAGTAATTATTCATTAATGAATACATTTTTAAAGTGAAAATTAAAAATTTCTTAAACATTATATTTAATAACTTTTTAGCTTTTTATACACTGAAAAAAATTCGGTCGAAATCTTTAACTACTATTACCTAGTTGAGTTGAAAGTTGTCAAATTAATTACTTTTTTAGTTTTACTAACAATTTTTGTGTAGTTGATTTTACTACTTTGAATATAGTTGAAGAATAATAGTTTATATAACTAAAAAAAGTAGTTAAATTGCAAAAACAACTACAAAATCTAATTACATCAACTAAATTCTTAGTTCTTTTTACTACTTTCGGTAGTAAATATAAATTTTTAAATTCAGTTGAGGACCTATTGAATCACTCAGGGTAGTTAAAAAGTAGTCAAATCTACTAGTTTTTTTTTTGAGTGTATAATTCAAGTGAAGTGAAACAAAACATGTTAACACTTGTCGTTAATAACAAAATTACCCTCCAGTGAATCTAATTTTAAGTAATAATTGACTATATCTGACTATTAAAAAAAGTTCATTATTCTTATTATTGAAAATTGCTTCTAATCAAAATTTTCTAAAACATGGTATTAATATTTTCTAATTTGAATATTTTTACATTTGATTATTAATATTATTAATTTCCAATAATGAAGCTTATTGATCAATGGTTTAAAATTATTTAAAAATTTTTTTTAAAAAAAAAAAAATTATTTTTTTAAAAATTTAAAAATTAAAAAATTTTTTAAATTATTTTTTTTTAAATCATGTAGTTATGTAATGTTTTACATAAATATACTGATCCTTAGTTGATAAACAAAACAAAAAAGGTGACATTTAAATGGAATTAACCGCCGGCGTTGTACGAAGATGATAGTAACTTTGTTCAGTGCCAGAATAATGAAATCTGTATTATGACAATGGATGTCATAGTACTGTAGGAACTAGGAACTGTAGTAAATTAATATAATGATGGTACTGGCAATCTGTACTACAAGGACAACAATCGTCTGATGTCGTTGTGAGGAAATGTTTTTAGAAGTGTGAAATGTTTTGTTTTTGGTGTAAAAAATTTATGGGGCAAGGGTTCAGTAAACTTTCCTTACAGCACATGGATATTCAGAATAGTCTATGAGCGTCCTAGGGGTAACTATTGGTCCGCGAAAATTAGAATATCTCTAGGATGTCCCAAAGATGTCCAGTGCCTTTCTACTGACAATTTTGGAATATTTTTATTTTCAAAGACGCCTAAGGCATCCATGAAATATTCTAATACATTCATAAATTTAAAAATTTAAAAATTTTTTAAATTAATTAAAAAAATAAAAAAAAAATAAATTTTTTTTAAAAATTTAATACTTATCTAACTTGCATTAGATAAGTATTAAGAAAAACTGTTCCAATTCTTAAAATAGCTTTAAAAAATTCTTTTTTTAATATATTACTTTTTTATTATTTCTTTATTAATTATTTTTATTTTTTTTTATTTATTATTTTATTATTTATATTTTATTGTTCATTATCAATTTACAATGTTTACTATAAATTGTCATAAATTGTATTCGGTATTATATTCAATTTATTTAGTTTTACTTATTTGTTTACATAAGTAATAGGTTTATATTTTTAAAAACTATTTTAAGCTTCAGAGAGCGTCTGCGCAGTTAATTTTTTCACTAAAACTAGTTTCGAGATAACGCGCATGTAACTAGTGTTGTGATACATTGACTTTTTTCATGCAGGAACGTGGGGTGGTCTTCTCATTACGGCGGTCCTCTTATTAGGTTATTCCCCCTAATAGCATCTAAATATACCTCTATTTATGATATTCTACAAACTTCTTTCAAATATTAATCGAATTTTGAAAATTTTGAATTTTGAAAATTAGAAACTTAAATTTTAATGTCTATGAAAACCCTCTCTGAGAGCTTTCGGATATTTAGGTATACTGTTATAAATAATGATTTTAATTAAAGTATTTTTTTGGTATTTCTCCAATTAAAGGGCCCAAAGGTGGCCACATATATTGAATTACAAAAAAAAATTTTTTGTTAGTTCATAAAAAATAGCATCATGGGTAAATTGGATCGTGAAACGGTAGAGAAAAACCAACCGAGTGTTTTAAAATTGTGTCTGGTTTGTTGGTACATTTAAAGTTATTTTTATTTATATTTTCTATACAAATGAGTCGAGGATTTCGATAAACTTTCATTCAACTGAATGCACATTCCCTTTTTATTTAACAATAATAAAATTTTGCAACAAAAATTTTATTTTATATTATATAAAAATGTTCGTCCTTTTATTTACAAATTGAAAAATGTTTTAATAAATTGTATATTTGTATTTCGTTATCAAAAAACTAGGATGATCGGCTTTACTCCACCATTTTTAAAAACTGCAAATAGTCGATTTTTTTTAATCTGCTATGTAATCAAATTTGTGAATGAGAACAAAAATTAGACCCAAAGTTGTGGCACACGGTAAGATTTAATTTAATATATTACCCAGTTAGATAAAGCCCAATATACAAATTATGTGGGCGAAAATACTTAATAGCTTGGCTTTACCCCATTCCATTCTACCTTTAATCTGCGATACCTCCACAATAAATTCGTTCTTTAGAATGAAAATGTTTCTCATGTTTCCTCTCTAGTTGCTTTTAAACCCTGTGTAGCTATATACTTTTAAAAATAATTTAGTGATTTTTAGAATACAAACGTCTTTATAATATGAGATTACCAGAACATCATGCGAATGAGAAATTTAAGTTCTTTAAAATGTCTTACCTCTATGATCATTGTTCCTTATTTCTAAAATTCAAAGACACCTTTTTAGCAAACAGAAAATTTTCATTTTTTGAAAAGTCAATTCAGACAAATTGAATCTATTTTTAAAAAAGTTATCCGCCATATTGGATCCGACATTTTGTATTTTGAAAAACTGACTTAGGATTTGTAATCAGCGACCCCAAAAACCCCTAGATATCAAGCTTAATGAAAAATTTATATTTTTTAAAATAGGGGTAAATTTTTAATAGGGTTGTTTTTTGCTTTAAATAAATTCCTCAAAAAATGTAATTATTTTCAAAAAATTTTTGCAAGAATTCAATTACATTTCAAAAATAATGAAATTCTTCGCTAAAATTCAAGTATTTTTAAAATATACTATTTTAATAAAATTTCTTAAATGAATTCAATTATTTAAAAAACATGTAATAAAACGCGTAGCAAGAATTCAATTATTTTCATAAATAATACAATTCTTTACTGAATTTCAATTATTTGAAAAAGAAATTTAATAAAAATTCGTTGCAAGAATTCAACTAAAAATTCAATTCAACAAATAATACAATACTTCATAGGACTTCAATTATTTTAAAAAAATGTAATACAAATTCTTTACAAAAATTTAAAATTATTTTTCTAAATAATAAAATTCTTCACAGGATTTCAATTATTTTAAATACAATTTTAAGTAAATTTTTCGAAAAATGTAATGATTTTCAATTATTCAATTATTCTGAATTAAATTTGATCAATTATTTTTTAAAATTCACGCTATAATGCTTTTAATATTCAATAATTATGTAAAATTTTAACTGTAATTCATTTTTAAATCAATTATTATTAGAAAATTCTACGAGAATTCAATTATTTAAATACAAAAGTAAATAATTTATTAAATAAATGAATATTTTTCAAAATTGAATCCTCAAAGAATTTTATCATCAAATTTTTAAACAATTCAATTTTTTCGACGAATTTTTATAAAATTTTCAAGAATAAATATACTTTTTGCGAGGAATTCGATTAAAATTGTTTTAAAAAAAATTGAAATTCTATGATGAGTTTTATTATTCATGAAAATAATTGAATTTTGGTAAAAAAAATATATTATTTATGAAAATAATTAAATATTTCCTTTAAATTTTATTAACACTTTTTTTTAAATAATTGGAATCTTTTAAAAAATTTGATTATAAAATAGTAGATATTGAAAATGATTGAATTGAGGAAAAGTTTTGAAAATAATTGAAATTTTGTCCACGAATTTTATTAAAATTTTTGAAAATAAATGAATTGTGGAGAAGAATTTTGTTATTTTTGAATATAATTGAAATTTCGACGTGGAATTTAAAAATAAAATTTGAATATAATTGAATATCTGCGATTATTTGTAACTTCATCTAAATTCAATTTTTTCCAGTACTTTAATAAAAATTCCTGACTTTTCCCTGACCTATGACAATCCTGAAAATGTTAAAATATTTTTAAAATAAAAAACTTGCAAAATTTCCATGGAAACTCCATGAAATTTCCATGGAATTTTTTTTATTATTAAAAAAATAAAATTAAAAATTTTT